TGAGGGTAGTTGTTAAAAAGATGGACATATAGGAGAACAGCTTCTGCCTTACAAGACTCAGCATCAGTGAAGGGACAACTGAGTATAAACACTTTCAAAACATTGAGATAAACTGCAATGAGAAACAAAAGGCCATTTAACTCAAACTGTGACAGCCACTGGCTTCTGTGGGAGGAATCGGCTTCTGTACTCTCTTCTATACTGGAGCAAAATTTGGTGTTAGGATGCACATGTATTTGATCAAGGGAGGAGGCGGCATTTCAGGTCAAGTTGTGTATTCCAGCAACTATATGTAGCTTAATCTGACTATAGCTGAGAGAGTGACTGTGAGAGAGAAGACCGTAGAGGTGGGCGGCAGAGACGCATAGAAATACTTTTTTACACCACGTTATTGCATTTAGAAACTATCCTGAAGGCAATCCTGAAGGGGAACCATTGAAAAGAACCATGGAAAGGGCTGGTAGGAAGCCACACTGGATTTAGAGACAACAGTATGCATTTTTGAGAAAAATGGACCAGAACCGAAAACTTAGCTTCTCCACTTGATAGATGTAAATTCTTGACAAGTTTCTCAACTTCTCTGAGTGCCAATTTCCTTAAATGGAAAATGGGGATAGCAATATTTACATGTTAGCATTATTCTGATCATTAAAAGAGATAATGTATACAGCACGCTTGGTACGGGGTCAGGCATATGGCGGCTGCTTTCTAAATGGTGGTTAGCGGGCTGCTCAAGGTCAGCTGATGGCCTTATTCTTTTGATACTGGCACCAAGGCCTGGTACTAGAAATGATTCCCAGAGGCCTCAATATAAGTTTGTTGAAAAGTGAAAGATCAATACCAAGTCTCACTTTTCTTCAAATCAGGACTTTGCTGGAGTGATCCTTTCAGAATTAAAGGCTTTATCTACATGGCAGGACAATCCTCACCTAGCTCAAAGAGATAAGTAGATAAAAATCTGACACAGAAATTTCAATTTTATAAACTTCCATGAAACAAAGAGAGTGTACTTGTACATTTTTCTAACTATGTGATATTGTGAGAAATATATTTTTATTCAAACCCATAGTTAACACATTGCATATTCGCAAAACAAAATTTAAATGTCTTACTCAAGCCTTGTTTGAAATGACTAAAATCTTACCTTTAAGAAGAAGGGCATGAAGGAGAGTTTAATTCCACGAGCAAAAGCAATGGGTTTTAATTCTTCTCGTAGCTTAACCAGTTCAGTAAGGTCGACATCATCACAATACCCAAAATGAGGTATCTTCAGGGCTGCAGACATGGTCTTGACCATTGCTTTGTGAAAGCCTGGAAAACATTAAATATACATATATATATATATATATATATATATACGTATATATACATATATGCATATATATATGTACTTTATAAAAATTCTTAAATCCTTTAAAAACTAAAATAGAAGGTTTTCTAATGTTACTTACTCTTAATTAAAGTCTTCCTCTTGGAGCTACCATCTTCATTACATAACTTGAAAGCCAGTAATTTCAATGCTGAAGCATTGACTATAGCTCAACACCCAGTGTCAATTGTAATAATATAACAGGTAACTGCTTTCAACACTGTGGTATATAAAAAATTCAAAAGGTGGCTTCCCTGGTGGCGCAGTGGTCAAGAATCCACCTGCCAATGCAGGGGACACGGGTTCGAGCTCTGGTCCGGGAAGATCCCACATGCAGCAGAGCAACTTAGCCCGTGCGCCACAACTACTGAGCCTGTGTTCTAGAGCCTGTGAGCCACAACTACTGAGCCCGTGTGCCACAGCTACTGAAGCCTGCGCACCTAGAGCCTGTGCTCCACAACAAGAGAAGCCACTGCAGTGAAAAGCCCTTGCACCGCAACGAAGAATAGCCCCTGCTCGCCGCAACTAGAGAAAGCCTGAGCCCAGCAACGAACACCCAATGCAGCCAAACAAAAATAATAATAACAATGCCATAATAATAATAATAATAATAATAATAATAATAATAATAAATTCAAAAGGATGCAAGCCATGTATTTACACAATGGCTTCTTGCAAAGCCACTCTTCTGGAAGTTAATCGTCCTAAGAGTTTGTAAATAACAAATCAGAAGTAGTTATTTTGAAAGCTAACAAAAAATACTATTTAAAATATACTGAGCAAGTCTTCAAACAGAAAAAATATCTTTACACAAATTTATACTCTAAGAAACCTGCTAACACGTTACTCTTCAAAAATTATCAGTATATGTTAAAGCTTTTCCTAGAAAAACTATAATTTCATCATGTTGAAGTAGCTTCCCCCCAAATAATGACTCTGTCACCTTACATTACTATGATTATTACCTTTTATGGGCTCTGTTCTGTCTTTGCCTGTGAATACTGGAGGTTTTGATATTGGTATAGGAATAGTTCTCTCTTTTGGTTTTGGTGGAGGTGGCATAATTTCAGCTTTGGGTGAAGGAGGTAGTATAGCTCCTGTTTGTTTTTCCAGATAGCTGAGAATATCTTCTTTAAGTATTCTGCCATCTTTTCCAGAGCCAACAACTTCACTCAGCTTAATCTAAAAAATGACACATTTTAATGCTCAAAATAAAACTACCTAAAAATAAATAAACCCATCACTGAGGTCTCTAAGTGAAATTAAATGAACTGAAGGTAAAAAAGTATCTCTGCCCAATAAATTAGTATAAGGAAATAACATTTTAATGATCTTAATAGAACACTGCAAACTATAAATAACATTTTCATCTTCTCAATAGAATGCTATAAACTATAGCTACTCTTCATAAGTGATCATTTTTTACTTTTGTACTTACTGTTCATTTGCCTATGTGGTAACAATGTAATATCTACATTGTATATAGCTATTTATGAAAACACATTTTTAAACAGTCAACTATTTCTAAATTTCTTGCATAATTCTTATTTGATTTTTTTCTATTCTTGGAGACTACATAAGAAGAACTGAAAGTTTAAACAAGAGTTAAACACTGTAACAAATGTAGACCACTGTTTCTGACCTTGGCTACCAGTAAACATGTAATGGTTAAAATAATCATCCTATAAAAGCTCTCTTGAATTAGTTTTTTTCTGATGGCTGTTTTAGAAAGATCAGTACAAAACACTGAAATTAACTTTATTGAAGCTTACTTGGAATGTGAGTTCCTTGGTCCAAGTTAAGGGTCAAATAGTTAAGTTTTATGATTGCTTTCCACAGAATAAACAATAGATGATATAATTCTACTTTCTACTGGGCACTCATGATACTTTTTGGAAACATTTGTGATCTGGCTTTATTTAATCACTTCCTATGTTTGGTAATAGAGATAAAATATTTCACTAAATTGAACTGTATTTAAATAAAAAGACACATTAGCTTGGATGATATCCTCACACATAGTGTATATTAGTTAAACTCTCAAAGTTAAGTCCTATTTCATTTGTATTAATGCTTCTCTAAGAATGACCACAAGAGTAAAGGACTTTATCACATCAAACATTTAGTTTATAATAAATGAACTCTAAGAATTTAAACATAATTTTTAGGTAATTACAAACAACTGTAAGTGCCACTGGTTTTTAATTTTAGACAAACTCAATAATTAATATACAAACTGCAAAAAAAGGGGGAAAAGGTGATTTTATAATAATAAATCCGTTATTTAATTTCTAGTAATTATACAAATGCTCTAATTATACATATCTTTAGGAAAAGGAAAGCCACATCGTATATTTCTACAGGTAGTCCATCTATATAATATTTTTTAAAATGGTAAAATGTTTATAGCTTTCAAAGCAATATGTAAGATCGTTATTTCATCTGCTGCCCTTAACAGTGTAGTGTTCCATATTACTATTTCTATTTTTCTGTTATGCTAAATCGTCTTCATGTTTGAACACATTCAATGGCTAATAAATTTTCATTAAGGTTTTACAACATAATTTTCCTAAGCATTTCCCTGATTTTGAACACATGTGTGCCTTCTAATTTTTGGTTATATAAAACACTTTAATATATCCTAGATTATCTCCTTGGGATAGTTCCCCAATGGTAGGATAACTAGCCGAAGGAGAATGAACATTTTAATGACTCTTATTACCTATTCCCAAAATGTAAACTTTTTTTCCCCCAACTATAATTTAACTACTTCTCTCAAAAACAGACAGACAAACAAAAGCCTGCATTGTGAGGCACAGTGGAAAGAACTCAGGCTTTGGAACCACACAGATTTGTGCTCAAATCCCCAGTTCAGCTACTTACTTGATTTTAGGCAACTTAATCAACTTCTCTACCTTTTCTCATCTGCAAAAAGGGGATAACCCAAACCAGTCTGCAAGGTTACTGTGAGGATTAGCGATAATGTATGTATAGTGTCTGGCTCAGAAGTGCTCAAAAAATGGAGGCATCAATTGTTGAGACACTACTAATGATTAAGAGCACTGGTTTTAGAGTCACAGAGACTATCACAGAATCCTGGTTCCACCACTGGGTTAGCTGTGTGACCTTGGACCAGTTATTTGACCTCTCTAAGTCTTAGAAGGGCCCTTTGTCTCAGAGTTGTGAAGATTAAATGAGATAACATGTAAATTATTAGCACAATGCCTAGGAGCCATCTCACTTTGGAGGTAAAGCAGCAATGACTGTCAGGTAAGAGGGAAAACAGAAGGCCAGGCTCCTTGACTCAAGTCATTATAGCTCTATGGTTTTCCCTACCACCCTGGGATCAGGCAGATCCTTGGGACCACATCCTTGCCTGGCCCATTTCCCATCCCTTCCCTATACTGCTTCCTTCATTCCTAGTAAAGATGATCGCTGTCTCAATCAATCAATCATGTGTTCCCAAACCCTTGTCTCAAGCTATGCTTGTAGGGTACCTGATCTAGGACACTAGTTTTACAAGTGCTCAATAAATGGTAGCCCTGACTGTTATTAGGCTCTCAGGAAGAATAATAAATCCACACTTCTCAATTAACATGAATAATAAGTTCACCATTTTCTTTTCATTGCTCGTGAGGACTTTTATGTAACTATCACTTTTTAGTAACAGACATTTTCATGTTTCCTTTAATCCCAACTTGAGCCATCTCATCATGGGATAGCTGGGTAATTCTTCATAGATACACATGTATACCTTCTGTGTGATCTCACACTTAAATATTAAGAAAACTTACATTGTTTTCCATTGCAAGGCGACGAACTGCAGGAGTTGCCAGTGTTTTTTGGCCCTTTATCTCTTGGTGTGTGTGTTCATCATGGGACACAGCAGGAGTTTCAACAACATCTTCTTCTGAATCTGGTAGCAAGGTAAAATTTTACTCTTTAGCAGAAAATACTGAAACAACTAAAACAACAAGCTTAGTGTCTTATATAAATAAATTCAACTTAAAGTATACAGTCAAAAAGCGTAATAGATGAGCTACTTCAGAATGGGAGAACACAACCGTAAAATGGTAAAACATACGAGGGTACTAGAGTGAGTGAGAGGGGTGTACGGGTACCAGGTACTGTTTAATGATTATTATTGCCTGCTGTTTACTTCATTTCTGTTAAAATTATGTAGCAGCTACAAGTTAAAAAATGCAAGTTTCTTTCATAAATTTTAAAACATTATATTGTAAACATTTTCCTAATAAATTTCTCATATACATATGAAATGAGAATCAAATGTGAGGTAAATTACATGAAACATGTAAAATCTGTGACAATCTTAAATGCTTTCCTAAGATAATATAGCATTAAAATTTTTTTCTTTGCTTTGAATATGGCTTAAGGAATGCTGTGGAAGGTTGTATTTTCATGGCTAATACTAATTTGGTTGTTTTATTCTCTAACTGTAGAGTAGTGATATAAGAAAAACTATCTTGGGCTATTAGCATGTATTTTTGCAACCAAAAAGAAAAAGGTTTTAAGAGCATTTAATTGTCAAAGTTGGATGCTAGGAAATCAGTGCTTTAGTACAGCAGAATCTCTGTGGGAATAAGTAAACTAGAGCCAACCTCTGAAAATCAGCAGAAAACTGAGTTAGTTTTGACATTCAATTCTAAGCAAATAAAAATTTTCCACTGCTGGAAAACTATGGAAAGACATTCTATTCATTCATTCCTCCTCACTAGTCTATGAATTGGTCTGGTGGAGCTCTCAAAGTTCCCCTATGGTTAAGGAAGAGAAAAAACAAACACTTTGTATTGAACATGAAGAGTAGTAGAATATTCTAAAATGTGATTGTAGGAGTGCAGGACATACCACCCCAAAATATGCCACTTTGGTGTACTGATTATTTTCAAGAGCTGTAGGCACTTGAAAAACAACAAATGCAGGGGGAGGCTTACTCTGAACTCTCTTCATGTACCTAAAGACATCCAAAAGGAACTCAACTGTCAGAAACTCCCTCCCTAGGAGTTTCATCCAACCAGGGAAGATTGACTCATCACAGGAGAAGAGACTAGAAATCAGCAACACACCCATATAAACTTTTGTCACAAACTATCATACCTCCCATATATTCTTCTAAGAGCCAATTCATCCTTCCTAAAAATCATTTACTCTCCCAAGAGGCCTACATCCCTCCTCCCCTCTCCCTATTAAGAAGGTATTTAAACCTGAATCCTAAAGCCACCTCTCTGAGTTATTCATTTTTCCTGGGTATCTCCCAGGTATACATGAGGTCTACATGTTAATAAATTTGTTTTTCTCTTGTTCATCTGTCTTTTATTACAGGGGTCTCAGATAAGAACTCAGAAGGTACAGGGAAAATTATTCTTCCTTCCCACAATCACCTAGTATATATCGTATACTGCACTACATATGCAATATCTTAATCTTCACTCCAGTGTGTAAGATAGGTGTTATTATCCCCATTATACAGATTTTAAAAAATGAGACTTGAGATGAAGAGACTGGCCCAAGGTCACACACCTAATAAACTGTGAAGAGCTGGGATTCAATCCTAGGGCTGACTCAGTTTGTGTTGTTTCCTTTAGTTCATGGCCCTAGTAGATTTTCTTTCTGGTCAAATAAGCTGGAATATAACTTCTACAGTTCAAGGCATAATTTTATTGCACTTTGAGAAGCCCTGTGTATTGTCCACATCTGTTGAAGTTACTGGAGAAACTAGTAAGAAAGATTAGCATTAGGAACTAAGATCCAAAGAAAAATCAAGGGGGCTCAGTTGTAGGAATCCCAAATACTAACTTGAATAATGCATATTTGCTATAAGTTTGAGAAATGCATAAATGCCCAGACATATCATATACAAGTTATTATATAACAGTTCCAAAATATCATGTTATTTATTGCTACCCACCTTTCTGGAAAACATTCTATATATCACCAAGTAGTACTGCCTTTTGGAATAACTTCAGTGTAAGTATTAAGTAATAAAACAAAGATTTGCAAGAAGTCACTCATATTATATATGAGTTGTAGTTGTCATGTAGTTGTGGGAAGAAAGCTCTCTTAATACTAAAATGCTACCTTGCTAAGGACATTGGAAAGCCAGGGATGATTTAACAGAGATTTAACAGAGAATATCTACCAGAAAGCCATTTCCATGATCCAAGGGTTTCCAGTCTTTTTGTTACCTTGATCATAGAACTGATCTTAAAAGTGACCCAGTAGAGAAGAAGTAAATCATAAGGAATGGAGGGAATGTTATTTTCTAAATGGATGAGTGTTTGTGGCATGATGCCAAGATAAACGGAGTGATCAACATCAAATCACAATTTCGCACAGATACAAAAGGATATTTGGTTCAGAACCTAACAACTAGGAAGAAGATCTAGGAAGATGACCAGATCTTTTAGGCAGGAGAGAAAAGAACAGTTTCTAAATTCAACTTAGAGAGCTAGCAGCCACAATAACTTCTATTAGCATTTGATTCAATAACCTTAGCCCTGATAGAGATTGCACATTAGAAAAACAGTTAAGTTTTGGAGAAAGTTGCTGCTGGTTCAGTTTTGCTGATGCAACAATCTGTTCCTGTTACCGTGCCCTGTTACCTCGATGAAATAGAGATTGCAAGCTACACAACTGGGAAACCAGCAAAGTCAAGCTGTCCTGGCTGTTCTGGTTTAGCCTTTGAACTGTCAGCTTAGCTATAAACTGTGACATGTTTAACACAGGGGGAGGCCCATATTGCTACACCCAAAATGTGGAATGCTTATTACTTTTTCCAGATTTAATTAAACATATGATTGTTCTATGCAATATGAAGAAAGTGTGGACAGTAAATCAGAGGATGACTAAAATAAAACCATGGTGATCTTGATGTAAAACCAGAGTTGGTGTAACAGAGTGGGACCTGGCAGTAACTCCTGTTGTTTTTCACCTTCTTGAAGAGTAAGTCCTAACATTTGACTCCTTCCTACTGTACATTACATAGATGACCAAGATGATGAAGAAATTATTAATAGTAAATTCTAGTTTGTACTTTCCCCTGAAGCTATTGGACATAATTGTTTTCATATCATGAGCTTATGAACAGGAACCTAGTATTTTTATGATTGCAACCGATCAGACTTTGAAAAGCAGGAAGTTTTTTATTGTAAGTTAGAAAAAATATTTTTTTCAGGATTGTTTTTGGACATGTATATGGTAAAAATACAACTTAAAGTGTTTTAATATAAATGTTAAGTATTTGGCACAATATTTTGAGGAGCTTAGTTAAACGTAAAGGACTTCTGTGACTTTTCACATTAAAATGTCAAATTCTTTTCAAATGAGGCTTTGGGGAAAATGATCTTGATCATACTGGCTTTGGTTATAATTCCGTTCATTCAAGGTACTTTATTCCTTGCCTTTTAAAATAACTAATTTTGGGGCTTCCCTGGTGGCGCAGTGGTTGGGAGTCAGCCTGCCGATGCAGGGTACATGGAATCGTGCCCCAGTCCGGGAAGGTCCCACATGCCGTGGAGCGGCTGGGCGCATGAGCCATGGCCGCTGGGCCTGCATGTCCGGAGCCTCTGCTCCGCAGCGGGAGAGGCCACAACAGTGAGAGGCCCGTGTACCGCCAAAAAATAATAATAATAATAATTAATAAATAAATAAATAAAACAAATTTTGATTCTGAGAAAATTAAGAATTCCAGTGTGACAAAGGCAATTTTTCTTTTATGCAAAAATGAAGTCTTAGTAATTTTCAACTTAGTTTTGTATTCCAGGTATAAAGTTGCCTTAAAAAATCTTTTGAAACTTGTTTTAAAAATAAATAAATAAAAATAAAATACTACCTTGTTAAATAGCACTTGAAGTAATTTTCTAAGTTTTTTAATATGATTATACTTATATAAAGTATACTTTATATATTTATTTTCTCCTTTGATGTTCACAATAATGCTACAAGAATGCAGGGCACATTCTTGATTTTACCAATGTAGAAACAGACTCTAAGGGGGATGGAGTTAAGACTAAGCTAAAATTTCATGACTCTCCCCAGCTGATGTGATTTTCACTGTTCTTGCACTATACTCTAATATGTGGGATTTTATTCCTTCAGTAGTGGATTTAGATACAGTTTTTAAAACCTTAATTAAATTTTAAGAAAGAACAAAAGGACTCTGGTAAATAAGTTTTTATCATGAAGACTGTCAATTTAGCATTGCTGGAATTCATTATATGAAGAAAATTTACAATAAAATTATATTATTTCAGATTAAATAAAAGAGTAATTTGAATTAGTAAAAATATTAAAACTGTGTGATTGCGATGGGAAATACTTTTTGAAATACCAAAGCACTCAAAGGTTTTTGAAAGAGTTGTTTTTGTAAGAAGCTTTAAACTTTTCCTCCCTGCAAAACTTCTTAGGAAGACTTTTCTTCATAGCACAAATCTAAACCTTAGTCTAGTTTCTGCTCAAATGATCATAAATTGAGAATTAATGACATCTAAACCAATGAGATTGCATAGCATTTTCTTTCTCACTTCAAATTACTGAAACAGCTAATTCAATCAATTCAGTCTACAATTAGCTATACAAAATAAGGTTTTAGTTACCATTTACTGAGCACTTGTCATGCCCAGGCATTGTACTATGCAATTTATGTTATTGAGTGTAATTTAATTAAATGACATGCTATGTTGTTCAAATGGTTTTATGTCAAAGAGCTTTTCTCGGGGCTTCCCTGGTGGCGCAGTGGTTGAGAGTCCGCCTGCCGATGCAGGGGACACGGGTTCGTGCCCCAGTCCGGCAGGATCCCACATGCCGCGGAGCGGCTGGGCCCGTGAGCCATGGCCGCTGAGCCTGCGCGTCCGGAGCCTGTGCTCCGCAACGGGAGAGGCCACAACAGTGAGAGGCCCG